ATAATGCATCAAAATATTATTCATTTTTACGTTATCGTTAATAATTGTATAACTCTTCTTTTAGTTAAAATACTAAAATTTTGGAATGTTGACCTTCATGTGTCTCTTCCAAGTCAGTATCATGTTGCCAAGTCAATATTAATAAAAAAATTGCTAATTGGAAGTTAAGATTTGGCTAATTCTTAGTATTTCGATAGGTTCGGATAATATAAAAGAACCTGAAAAAAATTTGGATAAAAAATAGACATTATCCTTATTTTTATGTATTTATCAAACAAACAAACGTGTTACATAAACCTCCCGTATTAATTATGACACTACATAAAACTTATGGAAGTGCCTTACTTGAATTATTTTGTATATAATTTTATTTCAATCAAATCATTAAACGAGTGAATGAACTTTATTAAACATTCTGATGAGATCGTCAACAATTATGTAAAAATAATTGATCTTACAAAATCTTTGTGTAATTATCAACAATTTAATTCATACCATATTTTACAATTGTTTAAACCATTGAATAACTCAAACCACCAAATAATGCACTCTCAAGACTTCACTGCAACTACATATTTTCCTTGTTTATGTTCTCCCTATTGCCTGCGTAGAAGAAGTGAATGGCTAATCAAAGAACCAAAAGAGCAGGGAAATAATAGGCAATCATCATGTCGTCCTCTCTCTGATTTGGAAGTGATATAAAGCCAATTTCCAACAGTCGAAATCTGATGATGAACTGAAGACGGCGACTTTTGGTGGTATGCCAAATAGAGACTGTAAAAGTGTCATGAAGAAATCGGATGAACATAAATGGTCTAAGAATTCGATCCATAGCAAATCTTTAATATGTGTTGTGATTATTACTAATAAGTAATAATTCACAGGCTTACAACTTCTCTTTATCGCATCCTGCATCCGGGTATTTTTTAGGATGATAGCGAATTTACCCGACAACATTTATTCCTCTTCTTCTCAGTGAATGTATCAACATGGACGACCAGTCGGGATAGCGATATTGGGGTGGGGATTCAAGCAAGATGAGGCCTGATGCTACCCAGGAAACCAACTTCGTATGGATTTGATTTCATAGAGAAAAAAGATCCAACTCACCCATGACTTCTACTCAATTTTGCAGAGAAGAAGCTGAAAACACCAGCTATCGTCTTCTTTCGAAAACTCTCCAGGGAGGAAAGGAAACATCATAAATGAATTCTTTTTCTTTTATGTTGATGAATAATGGGGCTTTTTAATTGCCATTGGGTGGACGACAAATGAGAAGGGAAGGGGGTTTTCACTTTTCAGTTTTCACAATATGAAAGAAAAGTTGACTGGGGAAAAGGAACGAAAGAGAGAGGAAGGTGGGGATGCACGGAAAAAGAGGTGTTGTGGATTGGTGAGGTAGTTTGTATATAAGCCTATTCATGCAAGGAAATTTAAAAGCAACCAACGGTCAGGCTTTCCTTGCCCAATGCACAGAACCCAGACGTACATGAAAACACCCGCATGTGATCATAAAACCCCCTCCGTGAACAGTAAACTCCGCCTTTTTCTTAAGGAACAGTAATTTCGATTTATGGTAATTTTTTTGAACTTGAGACTTAATAATTCTAATATAATTATTGGGTACGCTTTTTTGTCCAACATCTTGCTACTGTTTCAATTTTTGGCGTTTAGTGAATTGTAGCCCGAAAAAGTCTTCTTCGCTTCTTGCCTCTTCCCCAATCCCTAGCACCCACGATGAAAAGGAAACACCCCACTCATGGTTTGTCAAAAGCCAGAAGATAAGAAATGACTTCCCCAAACCACCCTTCACCTTACCTCTGACATCTGACCATCAAAGTAAAAAACTTCACATTCCCTCTCTCTTCCTGGCAAATCCTTCTCCCATACTCCTCCCTCTCCAGTCACATCCCTCCATTTTATACCAATCTCTTTTATCTTTCTTCTCTTTCTACTCCACACAAAGCCAAAAGTTGCCGCGCAGCAAGATTGAGAATCCACCATTGGTATCGAAGAGAGCAGAGGTTGGAGATGGAGGAAGGGACTCGATTTCGCGGAATAAGTTCGAATCGTTGATTTATGTGATTACGGAATCAGTGGCATCCCCAGATTGGCGGTACCGTTCACAAGACCTTTCGTACAAGAGCCACATAGGTTGGAGATGGAGGAAGAGGAAGGGCTCTGACCGGAGAAGCGAGAGACGACGAGGGTCCGGATGGCGATTAGGCTGGCAGGAGATTGGGTCGCAGAGGACGGCAAACCAGGTGATGGAAGACGGGATCGATTTGGAACCAGAGGAGAGCGGGCGGATTGCGGGCAACGAGAAGAAAAAGGACATGGTGGACTCTTTTCGTAACCTCCTACTTCTCGGGATTTCGACGGTAACACGAACTCCCTTGGATCTCTCATCTCTCTATGTTTTTAAAGCATATCGCTTTTTTGTAATTTCTGCCTTGTCGGCGACTACCGCCTCCACCATTGTCCGTCAACCACTTCTTCCATGTTTCCAGTTTGCCGGTCTAGTTTGTATTGTTTGTACACTTCATACGTTTGTAATGTTTGTATGTTTTGTCGCTCTAGTTTGTACTGTTCGTATGTTTGTATGGTTTGTACTGATTGTAAATCCGGTTTGTATACTTCGTAATTTTTCATAATACCCAAACTACCCATGTCATTAATTAAATAGTCCTTCCCACTTTTTAACCATTGGACTGAAGTGTCCAGATCTAAAGGCTAGGAGGGGCTTAGTCAAGTGACTAAGCACCCCCCCTTAGTCACCAGATCCGCACTCTTGGGAAACTGAATGGTTAAAGGTCGTCCTAAAAATTACTAACCATCGTCCTAACTTAATATGTAATTTACCAAATTGCCCATTTTGAATTTCAAAATCAAACACAAAACAAACAACTCCTCCCCCTTCCATAAATCTAAAAAAAAATATATAAACCAAAATTCAACAAATTATCTTATGGATCGAATCATAAATCGTAGTAAAAGAATAGAAAATTATTGATATAAACCAAACAAATCCAAAAAAACCCAAAAACCCTCAACCGAAGCCAATTTTCGGTTGTACCATGGCTCAACCTAAGGCAATTTTCGGTTGTACCATGGACCAACCGAAAATCACCTTCGGTTGCACCATGGCTCAACCGAAAATCACCTTCGGTTGCACCATGGCTCAACCGAAGCCAATTTTCGGCTGGTCCATGGTACAACCGAAAATTGCCTTAGGTTGAGCCATGGTACAACCGAAAATTGGCTTCGGTTGAGGGGTTTTGGAATTTTTTTTGAAAAAAATCAGATTTTTACCTCGTCGGAGTCGCTACTCATGATTCGGACGTATTCTCAACGATTACGACTCGAGAATGTCAACGTTGAATTCGAGAGTGTGGGAAATTGAGTGTTTTTCATCTTTTTTAGTTAAAGTGATGTTTGTTTGCTAAAAATGTCAAAAGGTTAAAAGTGTAACTTTGTTATTTTTTAGGACGATCAATAGTAATTTTAAGGACGACCTTTATCAATTCCCTTGGGAAACCCCTTCCCCTCCCCTCCCCTCCCCTCCCCTCCTTTTCCTTCCTAAAAAAACACAGGGTAATAGTTTTTACGCTCCTAAGTAGGGGTGGGCGTTCGGTCGGTTCGGTTCAAACCGAACCGATTCAGGACATCCCGAATTTCCGAGCTTCCCAAGACCCCGACCGAATTCGAACCGAAATATATTTCGGTTCGGTTCAGCCGAACCGAAATATATTCCGGTTAGGTTCGGTTCGGAGACTCTGCCCGAATTTTCTATCTGTTTCTCTCCCTCCCCACTTTCCCCACTTACCATTTTCCCCACCTACCTTTTTCCCCACCCACCATTTCTCCGCAGAACAAGAACCAATTCTCTCTCTCTCTTCTTCTTCTTCTTCTTCTCTCTCTCCTAAGATCACAAAGCAGCGGCCAGCGACTATTTTTCCTCCCGTCTCCGGCGATTGACGGAGGGAAGAACTCAGGCGCAGGCGGCGATTGACGGAGGGAAGAACTCGGGCAGGCGGCGCGACAGCGATTGAAGGAGAGAACGACCCAGCGGCGACGGCGGTGGTTTTTCCGTCTGGCGACTCAACGGCAACGGCCATTGATGCGGAAGTCAGAACACAACGCGGCGACAGGCGAGCACAGCGATTGAATGTTTGAGGGTCAGTATGAGTGTAGATCTAAGCATGCATGTCATTTTTCTGTCTGATTTTCACCTTCGAGTTTCAATAGCATCATCGCTCTTTGGGGTTGGGGAAGAAAGCTTTAATTTTCAATATTGATTTTGATGCATTTGGGGTTTTATGTTTTGAATTTGGGTTTCTGGTCTCAGGGAGGAGAAGAGATCGGAGAGAGGGGAAATGGCATCGACCGTAGAGGAGAAGTTTGCGGCGACAAGGCCAAGAGATGATGGAAGGAATCGGTGGACGGCGACGATGCTTGACGGTGGTTGGCGGCGGTGATGCTTGGTTTTTGGTCTTCTTCGTGAGGCTAGGGTTTGGAGAGGGTGAGGTTGACTGTGGGCTGGGTTTCTGTGTGGGCTGGGTGTGGGCTGGATTTTGTGTGGGCTGGGTTTCTGTGGGCTGGAGAGTGTTATTGGATGGGTTTAGTTAGGGGTGTGGGTTATATTTCGGTTTTCGGTTCGGAATTCGGAATTCCGGTTTCGGTTGAGAGCATCCTGGTTTCCGAAGTAACCAGTTTCCACTTCCGAATTCTGAACCGAACAGCAATATATCGGTTTCGGTTCGGTCAACTTCGGTTTCGGTTCGGGTCGGTTCGGGTTTACCGAACCGGATGCCCACCCCTACTCCTAAGGACCGGTAGGCCTTGTAAGGACACACTACCCTCAACGGTCCTAAAAAAATCTCTAGCAAAATCGTTGAAAGAGAAAAAAATCTTGTAGGAATCAAGTATAAATAAATAAAATAAAATAAACCCATTATAAAATTCGAACGTCTAAAGCAGTTGCCACTTGCTACCTCCGTCTTCGTAGCCCATGTCTTCTTTGCTTTGCTTCCGCCCGTCCGTCTATATATAAACGAAAAGATCGAGTCAGAAAATAAAAAAGTACAAAAGAAATAAATAAATAATTCCGCCCTTTTTTTGTTCCGTATAATAATAGCCTGTGTTGCTGCTACTGTTCGCCCAATCAATCCCCAATTCGTGCTCTCTTCTTTCTTGTTCCTGCTCAAAAATCTCCCACACTCTTGTTCGAATTTCCCATTTTCCCAGTCTCCTTCTTCCATTCCTTTCCCCTCTTTTTCTTTTCTTTTCTACTGGTTTCGATTTCTTTTCTATGAATCCAAACAGCACCAATTCTTCCTCCTAACCCTCTTTCTTCACTTGTTTCCTTCCTCTTTCAACTGGATCCGCTCGCCTAATCCTGCTGTACAGCCCACTGACTTCTTCTGGTAAATCTCTCTCTCTCTCTCTCTCTCTCTCTCTCTGATTTCCTGTACTTCAGATCTAGGCTTCGATTTTAAATTTTGTTTGTTCTCTTCCGTATCCGCGGATCTGTGGCCATCAGGCTGCAGTTCTCTGCACGGGATCTCGATCTGGAGACGGCAGAGGAGCCCTATGGTGGTTCCCAAGCTCGCCTGCCATGGAGTCCGCTTCTATTTATAGTGTTTTTTTCTTTTCCTGTTTCGAAATCGGTATAGACTTGGAGATACCGGCGCTCTTCTGTTCCCCACAGTCTGAACGCGTGAATTTGTTTCTTGGCTGGGGTTTGAATTTCGGAAGGGCGGTGGCCTAAATTGCTTTTTTTGCTTCAGGAATCCAACGGTTCGAAAACAGTTTTTAAAGAGTTCGAAGAGATAGTAAAGAAGGAAAGATGAATCACTTTGTGATCCAGCAGAGCGCTTTCTCCAGGAGGGAAGAGATCAGGAGGAGCGCCGCCGGAGCTCAGATCTCCGAGCGTCGGGAGGCGGTTGTTTGTCCTAAGCCACGGCGTCTTGGTCTGCTCGCCGACACTGCCAACGACCACCCGCTTCGGTCTCTCAGATGGCAGCTCAGGTAATTTCCTTTTATTTTATTATTATTTATTTGTGGAGTTCAATTTTAAAGGAATTTGTCCTTCCTTCACCTTCTTCCTACTGTGATGCTGAAATGGCCTCTTTTTTTTGCAGCCACCAGGCCGAGATCTGCGATTCAAAAGCAGGAAATGATCTTCTCGACATCATCCTTTCTAAGGTAAGTGAGTTTCCCAATTAAGAGAGGATTCTGTATGCATTTAATAGGCTGTTTGATCTCGATGGCAGCTGAGTAAGAACTAAGAACCCTAATGATTGGAATTGTGTGGCAGGGTGATGGCAACGTTGGCAGGGAGCAACCATACCCACAACACGTAGCGACGTCGCCCCCCTTTTTTTCCGGGTCGCCGCCGAGGAGAGTAGCTAACCCATTAATTCAGGATGCTCGGTTTGGAGGGGAGGAAGAGGAGGAGCTCTCGTTGTCGGGCCCTTTCACACCACCACCGCGTGTTCCACCTCCGTCCGGCGGCATATCCTCGCCGTCCCCAAGGAAAGGCGGCGGGTGCGTCGTCCGGTCAAATTTTGGGAACAAACCGGCGGTGAGGGTGGAAGGGTTCGACTGCCTCGACAGGGACAGCAGGAACTGCAGCATCCCTGCTCTGGCATAGACACAGAGAGATCCTTCATAACCCACTTCGCTCTCCACCACAAACTCGAAGCAAGCTTTCGGTACATATAGTCTAAAACAAAGTTTAATCAATAGAACAGGAAACAAGTCAAGTACTCAACTTTCAGTAGCATCAACGAGGAGCAAGCAGGCTTTTGGTTTATTCAGAGTTTCTCTCGAGAGGGTAAGATCAAACGATCCTTTTTTTCTTTTATTGTTGTATATATTATCCATAAGAGAAGGAAGGAAGGGTCTGGTTTTTTGTATGTAAATTGCCCATGAGAGTGTTGTCATTGTAAGTAAGCAAGCAGAGGAGTCATTTCATTTTTAGCTAGAATAAGAGATGGACACGGAGGAGCTTTTTTCGCATAATCCTTTTTGAGTAGTTGCTGGTCTTCGATGGTGTGGTTTAGAGAAGCACCATCATCATGATGATCATCTTTTCTTTTTCTTTTGGGTTGTTGATGAGTGAGTCCTTGAAGGCCAGGAAGTTCAATTTGTACAAATAGGACATGGGAGCCGAAGGTTTGTAGTTGGAGAGTTATGCTACACAATCAATGTAAACCCTTTTGTTCTGGGTGGTGAATGTAAATAGAACAAGCTTCTGTTTTTGTGGTGGTTATCAGTTTCTCCACTTGCTCTCTCTCTAGCGTAGTTTGTGGCAGATGCTTTGTTGGCGTGATAATGGCGGTGGATGGTGATGGGTAGATGGATGGTTATGATTGAATTGAATGATGGTGGTGGTGGTGGTGATGGTGATGATTCTTCGCTTGTGAGTCACGCCATATGTTGCAGAGGGGAGTGGGGTCCTGTGGCCTGCCATTGGGAAGGTAACCCTACCCTGCCCATTGGATCGGGTTGATGGGCAAATAACTTAATTCTGGAAATTTGCAGGGAGGCTGACAGTGGCACTTGTCTGGTGTCGTGGGGCGCAAAGCTCTGACCGCCCTTCTGGCGATATGCCTCTGTCTTGTATGAAAAGGCGGGGCCTTTGGCTTTGGCCAACAGCAAGCATGGGGAACATAAAAGGGATTGGGATTGATTGCACATGATGATGATTGTTTATTGAGTATTATTATTAGGTGGGTTGTTTGTGGGAAAGCAAATTGTGCAATCAGATTCAGATCCAGGGCGCGGTGAGTAGTTCTTCTGTGGAAAAAAATGTGCGCTCTGATACGCTGACCAGATCTTGGGGTTTGATTCAACGTTTTCAGTCTCTGCAATTTTTGGAGGGTTCAGAATAGATTAAAGACCAAAGAGACATGGCCAGTTGAACAGCATGAAAGGCCGGTCTCCATGAACCAGCCTATGGTCCTAATCTCCACTACGATTACTTGGACCGTTGGAAGTTTATAATAACTTGATAATCGTTGGACTGTGCAATTACGCACTATAGTAGTTGAATGCATGCGATGACAAGTTTAATGTTGAGTAATCACAAATTGTGTTTAAAACTAGTAAGCGAATTGGGTCATTGTAGTACCAATTTTGGACTCGGCCGAGGCATGCAGGTTTGCTTGCAAGAGCCAATTGTTGTTGTCTTGAAAAGGGAAACTGTTCTGTGTAGTTTAAGGCAACCTACATTTTTATTCGATTGTTTTGATTTGTTATAGTCTGTTTGGACAGTCAAAAAAACTGAAAGGATTTCCAATTCTCGAAATCTAGGCTAAATAGTTCCGACTGATTTTCCATTCCGCACACGAAAGTTGGCACTGGAAATGGAATTGTACAACATAAGAATTGACAATTGAGTTTTATTAGCAGTCCATATGGATTTGTATTCAATCAGGGTTTTTTTGTTACTTTGTAGTAAAATAGTAATAGATCAAAAGTTAAGTGGCTGAATGAACTTTTTTCTTTTTTTTTCTTTCTTCCTTCTCCTTTCTTTTTGTTGATGTAAAAATTCCTCCTGTGTGGACAGCCAGCCAGTGCCCCCTAGTTGGAAAATGGAAGATACGTGAGTACAAAATGCAAAGTGTGCTTGCTAACTACGGTGTAAAGTCCCCCCCTTCCCCACTGTCTGTTGACGGCTTCGAGCGCGAGAAGCCTGGTCTCGATGCAGAATTCCCTCTTTCTTCCTCTCTGGAACCCTAACTCGATTTCAAGCAAGAACAAGTGAATTACAACAGGAATTGGTAAAGGAAACAGGTGTAGTGAAACAACTGATGATTAAGAATTGGATCGGGTTTATTTTGAGATCGGGCCTGAACCGCCAAGCCCAATACACCAGAGAAGTTTAGTTTCTCAACCCAAGCACTAAACGTTTAACCTCAAAGCTGTGCGTTTAGATGAAGCCCTTCTTCTTCCTCGATCACCTGAAAACCAATCTCCCTGTTCCAAACACTCAACCAAGCAAACTTAAACTGAAAACAGAGTATGGACTAAATAACACACGCAGAACTCAACGAGACAAGGCACAGTCGTTTTTACGTGGTTTCCAGAGCTGGGCCAAATGATACCCAACTCTGACTACTCCACGGTCGGAAGATCACGATGATGTGATTTCCGACGATTCACTAATCTTGAGATTGTTTCAGTTACAATGACTTTGACGATCCAAGACCACTCAATCCAGTCCTGGACTGATGATCGATGCAACTTACTCTCCAATTTTCACCTAGCACTCCTGCTACTGTGTTTCTCCTAAACACACACAACTAACCCAACTTCTCTCCAGAAATTGGATTACCCTTGCTTTTCCTATCACCCACACAAGCTGTACTCACAGCGTTCTCTCAGTATGAATGATTCCCGAAAAGTGAGTCTTCATTGCTCCAGAGCCTTCGTCTTATACTTCACCCACTAGCCGTTGCAGCACGCGAATGGTAAGTCTTCTACTTTTGAAATCTTTCTCATAAAAGCTTGCCTTCTGAATTTGATCAGCTTCCAACATATCTTTCTTGCTTGCTCCACAAGGCTGTCCTACGATTTCTTTCCTTTCTTCTGATTCATGACTGACTTTCCTCCAACATTCTCCCCCTAAGTCAGTCAATGATCCTATTAGCTGCCTATGCCCGATCTGCACACATTTAGCACACGGTTACGTGCAGACTGTTCCAGACAAACCAATGAATTGAAACAGAATTCAAACATCACATTTGTAATAAAGCAACTTGAAGCACTTTTATTGACCAGAGGCAAACTGACATTCATTAACCGACTCACATTGTTTATTTATGACCCTTGACTCCCCCTAAGACACTTAATCCCCTTGAAGACACTGAGATACATATCTCTACCAGACTCCCCCTAAAAACCACCGACTTATTTCTATCAGACTCCCTAAGATACTTATCTTCTAACAAGCACACAGAGGTGCTCCCCCTAAGATTATTATCCCCTTAGTAGTCGAATTTTGGAGAAGGGACATAATCAGAGACAGCATCTTCATCCTCCATCAACATGTTCCTGCTGCTGCTTGCCTCCTCCTGCCTGAACATGGCTTGAACAGCCTCTAACGGATCAACCATAGGTCTCTTCCCATTGTCTCTGTCAAAAGTTTCTGGTTCCCTTACAGCTTCATCTTCAACAAGCTCAGCAAGACTAAGGCCATCCTCAGGAAACGCATGGGCAGCTGAGTCTCCCCCTGGAGCATTGACTATAGGTGCTCGACGACCAACAGAGGCATCGACTTTGCGCAAGATAAACTGTGCACGAAGAGAGCTAAGCATGTCTACCCGAGCTACCTTGAACCTTAAGTCAATCCCCAAGGCCAGCAAGATCTGAGTAATCTGGGGGGCAAATGGAAGCTCGGCTTCGAAGTTATCAGCATGATAGTTCAACATGTGGTCGAACATCAGATGAGGATAGCTAATAACCCTATTCTCCTTGGCACTAGCGAGAATCCAGAGATCAGAAGGATAAATGGTATTGAGGCCAAAAGAACGGGGTAGGAATAGCCGAGTTACATAGAAGTGCAGGACCTTCAGGTCATCAGGAAGCCGTCCAGTATGAAACTCAGAGGGGTAATAGCGACCTGTATCACGAGTATACAGTCGCAGAGCATCTCTTTCGTTGAACTCGACAGAATGGAAGTCGAGTTCATTCATGACTTCTGCACCAGCCACAGGAATCCCCAGTAGGACAGATATCAACTCCACGTTAAGAGTAATCAGATAATTATACACTATGGTAGTGAAGCAGGGTGGTGAAATGTGAAGACATGGCTTCATGTTCGCATAGAACATGCGTACAGCCTCTGGACGAAATCCAAAATTTCGGTTGGGAAGAATATCCCCCCAGCCGAGGGTTTTGATCAAGCGAGGGATGTCCATCCCATACCTGTCGAACTTTGATGGCTCTAGAGTAATGGAAGGGTGAAGAGGGCGATCCTGGAACTGTAGAAGATAGCGAGCATAAGCTGCTGCATCTTCGAAACCTTTACCATTGAAAATGGCAGCCTGAGCCAGTCTTAGGGATGTCGTATGCTGATTGGGTGCAGCCATCGGAGTTTGAATGAGTGAGGAGATTTTAGAATGAAGTCAAGAGGAATCACATCTTCAGCCTTTATAGGAGAAGTAGGATTCACTTATGGAAGGAAGAACTTTGAAGAAGGTAACTGGAGTCTTGACCCGAAAGTTCAGGGATCTTTAGAGCATTAAGATGAGAAGAGAAAATGGATCTGAAAATATGGAAGGTTGAGACTAAAACGAGCAGGTGGATATTGTTCTCATTCGAAGAATGATTGGAGTAAGGTCGAGACTTGAGGCTAAAGGGTAGGAGAGAATCAAGAAGAGAAGGTCAATAACTTTCACAGAATCATTTCAGATTCTCTAGTTCTGACCAGGAAAACATGCCTAACTCCCTTCGATTTGACAGAAACAAGTCCGAGCCCAAAGGTTTCGTAAAAATGTCAGCCCACTGACTAGAAGTGGGAACAAATTCTAGAGAAATCACACCTTCTTCGACCAACTCTCTAATAAAGTGATATCGAATCTCTATGTGCTTAGTTCGAGAGTGCAAGATAGGGTTTTTGGTCATGTTAATCGCACTGGTGTTGTCGCACAAGACAGGGAGAGTTTTTAAAGCAAGACCATAGTCTTGGAGTTGGTGCTTCATCCATAAAAGTTGAGTACAGCAGCTTCCAGCTGCAATATACTCAGCTTCAGCCGTGGACAATGCAACAGAGTTTTGTTTCTTGCTAAACCAAGAAACCAAGGAAGATCCTAAGAAATGACAAGTGCCAGATGTACTTTTCCTATCAATAGTACAACCAGCATAGTCAGAGTCAGAGTAGCTTATTAATTCTAGGGACGAGTTGCTAGGGTACCACAAACCTAAGTCTGAGGTGCCACTAAGATATCGAAATATCCTTTTTACTGCCATTAAATGACTTTCTTTGGGAGAGCTCTGAAATCGTGCACACACACAGACACTGAACATAATGTCAGGTCGACTTGCTGTTAAATACAGCAAGGAGCCTATCATTCCCCTATAAAGTCTATCACTGACAGGAGTACCAGACTCATCTTTATCTATTTTGATGGAAGAAGCCATAGGAGTAAGGGCAGATTTAAGATTCCCTAAGTCAAAACGTTTAAGCATGTTGATTAGGTATTTTGACTGACTGATAAAGATTCCATGAGGAGTCTGTTTAATTTGTAACCCCAGAAAATAATTAAGTTCCCCCATTGAACTCATTTCAAATGCATTCTTCATTTTTGACTCTAAATCTCTACACATACTTTCACAGGTGGCCCCAA